GCCTCCTTTGAATAAATATAGCCAAAATCCCACCAAAATCCGTTGCCATGACTTATTGCGAGAGGCAAAAGGTTACGTTTTAGTCGCATAACATTGGTTAACGGAAACGCCGTCATTTCGCAATACTTTTTTATCGACATTTATAAAATATCGCCACAGTTTTGCGCAAATCTGTAATAGTAACGTGCCTACTGAGTAAATATTGACAGTATTGTCATTTACAGGTGAACTGCCCTTACCCTTGTCATTCCTGTAAGGAACAAGTCAAAGGCACAGCTAATAAAATGCTCCCTTTTTATATACAGTAATAATCTGAAAGCAGACATCTAGATCTGGAATGATTTATCGGTCAGTGTTGAGTATGAATGTGTAAGGCTCAGGGAATGGAGAGCAGTAAAGCTGGCACTCACCGAGTAGCTCTTTAGCCTGATGAAATCCACAGTCAGTGGCACAGACTTATCAATGTTTCGATTCAGCGTCTTGATGTAATCCATCAGGTCCGCAAAGAACTTGTACCCTCCTTTCAGAACGCAAAGGGCCACGATGTGATGCCCGCCCATGTCCCGAACGATATCTCTGGCCAACCTTTCAGTCCTGCAGAGAAAATCAGAATTGAAAGGCAGAGTGTTTTGACATTAATGCTTTCATTAAAACTGGCTGAAGCCATGCCAAAAATGTCAGTCAAGAGATTCTTGGGGAAATTTGTTAAACAAATAAACGGGAAAGCCAAATTCAACTCACATGCCTCTCGTACTGCACTAACATCATTAACTAAACAGGGGGCTAACACAGGGCTCTTTTACTATCGAGGGTATTTCACGGCCACGGCAATAACACAACTGTATCGCTTCACAAAAGAACACTTCCCAATCTCACCGTAACAACCAAATACAATCCTGTATTAAAGACAGAAAAGCAATGATACTGTTTGAGCATTTCAGATTAAAGTCGTGCTCATCAGTTAAACGCACCTGTCCTTAATGAGGCCATTGGGTATAATGACACTGTCCAAATCCTCCTCGTAGTGTTTCGGCACACAGAAGAGACTCAGTTCGTGCCCTTTGCTGTCGTCAGCTATCTAAAAAAAACATTTAAAAAAAGCTATTAGAACATCTTTAAAGAAACACTAAGACTTACGATATTTCGAGGAACTACAGTTATTTAATCTACTCGAGTTATACACTGTAAAAATGATTTTTCGAAGTTATAAAAAAAGATTATTAGTATGTTTTACAAGAAAATACTATTTCAAATGTTCACGTTTACATTTCAGTTCAATGTGTTACTTGTTGTCTCTTTGTAAATTATTTAAATCAAATTAAATCCTACACATTTTTTTTTTCAATGTATTTGAGTTTATAAGCTTTCTGCACCTTAACCTTATCAACATTTTTTAGTGACAAAAAGTTAAGGTGCAGACACATTTAGTGTTATGCTGAAACTTTTTGCAGGTGCAATCCAGTCATTAAAGTAGTAGTCGACAAAAAAATAAAATAAATAAATAATTGTCACATGTCATAAATATGTAGGTTTTTCACCAAAATATGAATATTTTGATATACTCACTCACTTATTATACTCACTTTTTTCTTTTTTTTTGGCGACAAAGAGTTAAAAGGATAGTTTACCTCTAATACACCACTATGTCCAACTGTCTTTGGGCGCGCGCACGGCATCCGGTGCGTGAGGTGTGTACGCGCTCTGGCGTAGTTTACGTTAATGGGTGTGTTGATATCCAGCCGAAGAGCAATCGTCTGTGCATGTTTTTTTTACTCTCATAGATTTTGTTACCATTGCCATGCGTTATACGACTGACAGACTGCAACGGTTAAAGTTAAAAATCATCAAATGTGTTCTACTGAAGAAACAAAGTCACCTACATCTTGGATGCCATGGGGGTAAAGCAGATAAACATCACATTTTCATTTTTGGGTGAACTATCCCTTTAAGGTGCAGTCCCATTTGAAAAAAAAATCAGTCATTTTAATAGGAATATGCAAGATTGTGAATTTCGCACCAGTGTGTAATATTTCCTCAGGCAGATTTCCCATCAGGTTCAAGTTGAACACGCTAATTCGCTGCACAGACCAGCAGAAAGCTGCGTAGTTTGAATGTGACTTCTGTGTGAGCTATGATTCATACACACTATTAATAATAGAATATGGAGCTTTCTTTACCCGCAAAATTTCACTAATATCCACACAAAGCTCTGGTTTAGAGAACTGAAATTGCCTTTCACGTGCTTGTTGGAAATTCCCAGTCTAAATATGATTTGAGGGGGTGTGCAGCTTCCAAGTCCATGTGCAATTATAATTCACACAAGCGAAGGCAGCATTACAATAAAGCACATCGGTCGCATGGTCTACATTTATGGTCATTTTTGTATCATTTGTTGGAGCTTGACAGCTGTAGTTTTTGTTTTCATTTTATGGAAGAGAGCAAAATGTCCTCTTTTGTGTTAAGGGTGAGAAAATGATGACAGGTTACTTAGA